CCGGAGCACAGCTGCGGGCCAGATTCAGCTTCCTGGCTGTCAGCTGTTGATACTTTAGAGCAGGGGTTCTCAAGGCTGGGTGGTCCCCAGACCAGTGGCAACAGCATCACCGGGGAATCTGCTAGGAATACACATTCTTGGGCCCCACCCAGACTGAATCAGAATGTGGGGGAAGAGGCGCCCAGCAACTACATTTTAAAAGGTCCTTTCAGTAATTCAGATACATGTCAAACCTGAGGCCGTTAGAATCAAAAGTCAAGTCTGGAGGAGCCACCGTCTGGTCCAGAATTATACATTGTTTTTCTCATTCTTTCATCCACATACCATATACCTGGCCTGGGCAAGGCATATACGGTCCTTACCCTAAACCCCAGCTTTAGTTCTTGCCTCTTGTAGGATGTTTCTTTGTTTTGCAGAATACCATGTCCACCCGTATAGTTCATTTTGCCATAATGCCTTGACGAAATAAGCAGAACAGAGGATACTTCTCCCCTTTTATAAATTGTCCCTGTGCAGTTAAGTCTCTGCCCAACGTCATAGGACGTGATGGTCCTAGGCTGCCCATTTGGAGGGTCAAGGCCCACCAACGTGATGGAAACGTGCTCCTGCCACCTTGGCCCTGCGGCACAGGAGGGTCTCAGCTGGCCTCTGGCTGTCATTGCTCTGCAGCACAGGCCTGACTTCACTCCATCTCAGCCACGGACAGATGTCCTTAGACACACAGTCCCCTAATCACCCTCACACCTGGGAGCATCCCATGAACAGATTTGAAGACTTGACAGAATGTTCATCCAGGCTGTCCGTTTCTTCGAGCGAATTATGTTGAGAATTTCCATCCGTAGCAAATCTCTTAGCCGAAATGAATTTTAACAAAATGAAGGAGGGGTAAGGAGAAAAGAAAAACATCTGGCAAGTGGGCTGAGCGCTGCAGAGCTCCTGTCCACTGCTTCACATGCCTCCCCCTCCCCTACAGATCTCCCCACCCCACCTCCACCTCCACCCCCTGCGCCGCGAGTGGGCAGCAAAGTGTGATGCAGTTGGGTCATAGGAGGGGCCGGTCAGGAGCAGCTCCAACAAGTAACACTCCAAAAACTAGCTCATTTTGCCTTGCCGAACAAACACCGTGGATGTAACTCTTTCTGATAACAGATCCTCCCCGTTGTGGCTCAGAGTATAAAGAGTGACTCTGAGTTGACTATGAAATGCCTGCACTGATTGGTTGGCCCAGCCCTTCCATCCAGCATCCCAGGCTCTGCAAAGGGCACACATAAAGGAGCCCGGCCAGTAAGATTTATGGCACTGAGTGACAGGTTCCCTCCCACAGACCATAGAAGAGACACAATCTCCTCGAAGTGACTTTTCGAATTATCTGCAGAAAACATTAGCGGATATTTTCCCATCTGCATGCCTCTGGGTCTTATTGAGTCATAAAAAGTAAATGATTTCCCTGAAAGCTTTGACAAACCTGATAGTTCCAAGCCATTTTCTAGCTGATTGATTTGCCATTATGCATCGGAGGATCTTCCAGCAGAAAGGCTTACTGGCGAAGGGAGTGCTGGGGAGAGAGCTCGCGGGAGGCCGCCACGCCAAGGAAAGTGAACAAGGGACAAGGCTTGGTTTGTGTGAAGGAGCTAAATGGCGTGGCGCATAGGCTGGGAAGGCTTCCCAGAGGTGGTGCCTTGTGAGACAGAGGCAGACCCCTTGGGGAAGGTGGGAGGAGGCCATTAAGAGAAAAAAGTAAAAACAAGCAACTTCCTCTCTGCCTATTCTAGGCCAAGGTCAGAAGAGCAAGGCTAAAAATAGGCGGCTAACCACTAAAGACAGCTGACTAGAGCCCTTAAAGATGGGTCTATGGGACAGCAGAGGAGCCTCGAGCAGTGACCTTGGGGCCAGTGGTCACCTCAGTCCGGAGCTGTTCCCAATTCAGAAGAACACATTGATCTCTGCTCAGCGTGGGCGTCATTTCTGGCAGCTGTTTGGTCCTGGAAGAGGTGTGCTCTGCGCCAGCTTCCTGAGCTGCCCTGGGCCAGACAGGAACAGGGAGCCCGGCCCTTGAAGGGCCTCGGGCGCTGAGGAAGGAAGGAAGAGGTGCTGAGGTGGTCACTGTGTCAAGTCTGAGCTTCCATTATTCTGGGACAATGTTCCGGCCTTTCGCAAGGGTGATGTAAAGGGCCACGCCCTCTGCCGGGATTGTTGGCCCTGGGGGCTTCCTGAGCCCTTCCCAGCCCACCCCCATCCCCTACCCTGGAAGATCTGACAGAAGGACGAATAGGGGAATAAAGCGGCAGGCAGGGAGGTGTCATGGCTAACGCAGAGAATTTATTGAAGGTCGATGCAAGTCCACAGGGGAGGCCCTGTATCACAGACACCACAGGGGCTGAGGACCCAGAAGCCTCCCTGTGCTCTCAGACCAGGGAGAAAAATATAACACAAGCTACCCACCAAGAAAAGGCAAAAACATTAACAAATGCAAGATGCATGCAGCAAACAGAATAAAGACAAACTCTTTGGCATCAGGGAGGAAAGGAATGATTAGAACAGATGGGGTTCGTTAGGACAGCTTCCACAAGGAGGTAACCTGGTGACGGCTGCAAAGGAAGTTGTGGACGTGGCTTAGGAAGGTGGCAGAGGAGCATTCAAAACAGGCACAGAGAGGAAGGGTGTAGCTCAGTGGTAGAGCGCATGCTTAGCATGCACGAGGTCCTGGGTTCAATCCCCAGTACGGCCATTTAAATAAATAAATAAGTAAGTAACCTAATTACTGCCCCCCCAAAAGAAACAACTTTGGTAAATCTGACCCTGATGTAAAAAAGAAAACAGGCAAACAGACCCCACGAGGAAGAGCACTAGCAAAGGCCCTGAGGTTCACTGCCATGAGACCCTGCAGGGTGCGTGCTCTCTGCGGCTTAAATGATAATGGACTGTCCAGGGTGGGTGGGGAGTCGGGGAGCCCTTAGGTGAGACCATCATTCAGCCCGCCTGTGAAGGGAGAAAGGTACAGAGCTGGGCCTGAGGTCCTTTCTCCGGAGGGATCTAGGAAAATCAAATGCCCCCACCCCACGGCACCTGTGTCCCCAGTTCTCCTACAGACAAGTTTGCCTTCCTGAGACACACCTCTCACCGTGTTGACTCCTCTGCTCTGAGGCCAGCAGCTACACACACACACACACACACGTACACACAGCATGACATCCAAACTCCACGGTTCTTCCTAATATGGTCCCACATTACCGTCTGCCCAGCCCATGCCAAGATTTTTTTAATTCAAAACAAACACCGTCCCCCTATATACTCCAGCCACACCAGTGGGTAGAGAGTTTTGCCCGACGTACGCTCTGCCTGTATGGTTGCCCGCATTCAGTGCCTCTGTCTGAAAGGCCCTGGACACCCCTCACAGCCACCCACCAAAGTCCCTCCCATCCTTTTAGGACCACCAAAGCCACCTTACCCCACGTCAAACACGACCAGTCTCTCTTCACTTCCCTTCACGCCTCCATCATGGCTCCCAACGAGTCTAGCTCGTATTGGAGCCGTTGTGATGAGGCTTTCTCTCCCGCATCACAGGATGGGGTCCCAGCAAGGTGCTGAGATCTTCCACCCTGTGTTCCCCAAACGCCCAGCTCAAGGCTATGGCATGTTGCTACTAGGTACATGTGTGCACTGGGGCTGGGCCTGGAGCATGGGCCTCTCTCAGGCTCCTCCACTAGGCAGGAAAGAGTTCCAACAGGGCTGCCCAGTCTCTACCCTGGATCGCCTTCTGCTGTCTTCCCTGGTCCCCCAGGGCAGGCCTTGCTTTGGGGCTTGGTCTCTTGTCCTATTTCTTGTCCCCTCTTGGCCTTGTTACCGTCCACCCCATGATTTAGACCACAAATACTTTATAAATGAACTTAAGAGCTTTCTTTCCCACACGTAGGCACAACACGAGCTGATGAACACAGGCTTGTACCTGGTGCTGCTGCTTCGCCTCTACCAACGGAGGTTTGCAGAACTCATGAGACTCAACGACAACCGGGCTGCAAGAGAGAGGGTGAGTCCGGCTCTGCCTGGACCGTAGGGCAGCAGGCACACGAACCTTGCTGTGCATCTGTGTGTGGAGGTCCTCGAGGTCATCTGGTAGGATGTGGTACTGTCCTCACTAGGACTAAGACTTAGTGGCTGCTAAGTGTAGGCACAGTGGCCCTCTGGCTGAAAAATAAGTGATAGTCACATAATTGTTGAATAGTAAACATGAATAGTAATTAAACGATCATTAATGGTCATATCAGCAAGGGAGTCTCCAGGATATTTGCCCCCTAGAATAGAGGCCAGCAAGGCTGCGGGGGCCGAGTGTGAATTATGTATGGATATCCACTGCCCAAGCAAGAAGGGTCCATGAAATACAGGGACCCTCCCCAGCAAAAGAACCGTTTATTTTGCTTTGGACCCCAGGGTACATTATTTCAGCATCTGGGTGTGTGTGCCAAGGAACAAAGGTGCTGATGGTGTCCCGCTTGTCATTAGAGAAGTGGCTGCCCTTCCTTTAATAAGAGACCTAGGGCCCTCTAGGAGGCCACACAGTGTGGAGGGGGAGCCTGGATCTGCTGCTCAACCAAACTGTGGGAGACGGACAGGCCAACCTCTGAAAGGTGCAAAGACACTTGGTCATTGCCAAGTCAGAACCCTGATCCCCAAAGGGCGTCCCTCTGGGTTAAATGCCTCCCGTGGCCTGGTCAGGAAAGAGCGCCGGCAAGACAGGGCCGCCTCTCTTACCTCAAGGCCATGCCAGGGGCTGCTGTCTTTTAGTGTTCTGGGTCCCCAGTACCCCTGGAGGCCTGGAACTCGACCTCTGCTCCCCTACAAAGGTCAACCCTGGAAGGCAAGCCAGTCTGGCAGTGAACAAGCCACTGATGGTACCACAAGGCAGTTGTAGTGACAGTCGGCCACCCCACCCTGTGTACCTCTCTTTCTCTTCACTTTCCTCTCTCTGTGTCTCTGTGTCTCTCCACTTCTACCTCAAGTGGACAAGAGGCCTCTGCCGCACCCGTCACTGCCTGATGTTGGAACCTGGTGACTCCAAGTGCTCCTTACACGGCCCCAGTCCTTGTACCACTGGAGGCAGTAGCCATCCACTGGAGCCATCCCTGCTAGAAACGCTGCGTTCATACCATTGGTCATTAAGAATTCTAGATCTGTCCCACCATTTCTCTGGCTTAAATTCTCCCCTTAAGACCCTAAGCTCTCAATTAAGACAACAGGCTGGGTCTTTTCCAAGACATCTCCTCAGGAATCTCACCCTCTTTCTGACCCAGGCCTGTCCTTCCTTTAACTCTTCCGTAGTTTTAATGGTGACATAAATTCCTCAGAGAAATACTTTTTTTTTTCTAAAGTACAGGAAGCAGGAAACGATCCTTTGGTAACATTTCTGTAACCTCATTTTCATGATTCCACATCTTTTTAATGAACTTTTTATTGCACACTGAACTTCAAAGCACCCAGGGTTTCATATAGGTTGCAGATGGCCACAACGTCAGCAAGCAAATGCAAGCGACATCAGCCTCGGGGACGGCAGAGCACACACGAGAAGGCAACTAGCAGTACAGCCCAATGGGTGACAACCTAGGCCTTAAAGCACTGACTCTGAAGAACCTTCTGTCAAACTGTCCTAGAGAAGGAGTAAGTGACCCAAGGAGCAAGCTGGGAACCAGGAGGGGAGGATGCAGAAAGAACAGGGCATCTCTCTGCTCTCGTAACAAGCTCATCTGTAATTTGAGATTCCCTGAAAGAGACCTCACCCGTTTGAACCTCCAAGCGATAACCAGGACAGCCAGCCAATTCAGAGGTACCCGAAAGGAATGGGAAATCACGCGGCTCTGGTCAAATTCACGCTCTTCTGGATTTGAGTCTTAGTATTTTCCTGTAGAAACCACTTGGAATCTAAGGGTAACATCTAGCAAAAGAAAGGCAGTAGGATGGGAAAGAGTCCCTCCCTCCCTCTCCTTTACCTGCCAGAACTGGAAACCCATTCCTGCCGGGCTTCTGGCTGCATCTCACTAAGACACCCAGTGATGAGTGCCTGTCAGTGGTGGTGGTCATTCATTCACTCACCCATTCATGCCCTGGCCTGTTTCAGGTCCTGAGACAGGGAACTGGGAAAGTGGCTACCAGACATGATGCCATGATGCCCCTTTCTTTGAGGAGCTTATGATGGAGTTAGAAGATGAGACTCACATACTCATAAAACCAGGAAATAATCAGAAAGTAGCCCTTGGTCAAGAGAACCAGTGGAACTAGTGAATTTCCAGAGGCTGTGAAATTGACAACACAAGATATTCCCTGACTGGGGCTTCCCGGGGCTTCCAGGGAGCTCAAAAACAAATAATCTGTGAGGTTGTGAGCTTCCTGAAGGCAAAGCCAGGCCTTTCACACCTGTCTCTCATGATGCTAGGCACACAGCGATTCATATTTGACTGCTGGCTATGTCCCAGGCACGCTGGATGCCAGGAACACTTACTGATTACAAACTTGCTAAATTACTGCCAAATATGCCAGATAAGGACCTGGTCTGCTAAGGGTTTCACACAGGCAGTCGGAGGGAAGGGTGTGTTCATTGGCAACTTGGACACAGAACCCTTACCTCGTTTGTATACCACAGTCCTCCAGTGCCTAGAAAATGCCCAGCACACAGTAGGTGCTCAGTAACCTTTCGATGCTCAGTCAGCTAATGAACCAATACCTGCTTCTTTCAGGAGGCAAGTCTTGAGTTACGTTTTGAAGAAAATGATAGCACAAACTGGTGGAGAGAAAAGGGTGTTCTAGGTAAAGGAGCACTCCCAGGTTCAAGATATATTTATGTTTTCAAAGATTTTCTGTGTGCCTACTATGTGCCAGGTTCTAAATTAGATTCTGGGAATACAAAGATGATCAAGACCCTCCTCACTTAAAAGGGACTCAGAGTCTACAGAGATAGACACATAACCAAGAGTATCACAAATGTTCCTTGTCTTATGACAGGAGATGCTGCCAGATGTGGAGGGACCCAGAGCAGAGTTAGAGGACCTGAGGGGCCACCCTCCTCCCCTCCTCCTTCCACTCCTTCTCCAGGACAGACTCTCCAGGCAGGGTCTTCGGGGACACAGGCCAGCATTTCAGAGGCCTTGCTTTTACTCCAGTTAGGGTGGACTCTTTGCCATCAGTTTTGCCAGCACTCGGGGAGCCTGGTGGCAAAGCTGCTTCCATTACTGCTCTCGTCAGCTGATCAGCTGAGGTGATGCTTGAACTGAATCTTGGAGAGCTTAGCAGAGGGACAAGGGTTGGTGGGGAGAGAAAGGGCATTCCATGCAGAAGGAAACCCAAAAGCTCAGAAACGAAAAGACTTGCATGTCTGGCAAAGTCAAGGAGTTGAGTGTGGCTGGAGCCAGCAGGAAGTGAGCAGGACGCGAAGGGTTTGTGTGCAGCTCTGGGAGGCCAAGGAAGGGCTTCTAGCCTGGGACCGGCAGGCCGGGAGACCTGCATTTCCCACAGGTCCGGAGGGAGAACTGGAGCAGCCACGCGGAGGGTGGGCTGGAGGGGGAGGAAACTACTGGGCAGCTGTTGCACTGGGACAGGGTAAGGGGGGCCAGGTGGGGAGCCCTGGAGATGGGGGACAGATTTAAGTGAGCACAGAGTGAGGTGCAGGTCGAAGGGAGCATGGACTATTATTCTCTGCAAAGGCCCAGCAGGAAACTGGCCTTTTCTCATTTCTGGTGCTCATGTTGGGAGCATGTCCAGAGGAACACAGGGCCCCCAGCCTCCCTTGACCCCACCTGGCTTACCCTTTAATCTGATGGGGACATGGGCTGTCCTGCGTGGTGAAGCTAAATGGACTTGCCTTCCCTCCCCTCTCTCCCTTTCAGCGCCCATGTGGGGCTCTCTAGAATTCAGGGCCTACACCCCCAGGGTCCCCTGTCCTGGGCTTCCTGCCAGCCTGGGTTTTGTGTGTGCCACACTCTCATTCTCCACAGGGAAATGTCCCTGTACCCTGAATTCCTCCCCCTGCAGCTCCCTATACCCTTTAAGTGTCCAACTTGCTAAACTAGATAAAATAGAAAGACTGTCAGTGTGCTAAAAGGCAGAGCGCAGAAGGGCCCCCAGGCCTTCCATGATGCTCTCCGGGGTGAGCATCCACCTCTGCCTCCTGCCCCAGGTGTGCTGTATTCACATGTCGACCGGAGGGAAATGGGGGCAGGCAGGGGACCACAGAGGCCGCCCTGGGAGGCAGGCAAAAGCTTGAAGTAGCTCTGAAATCCCACAGGCCCATTCACATGTGAGGCTAGATGGACTTTCTCTAGGTTCCCCCCCACCGCTTGATACAATTTCTACAAAACTGAAAACCCTGGTCTCAAAGGACCAAATCTACCCAAAATTTGGAAGGCCCATGCTTGGCCCACAGTTGGGAAATCCTTCCTACTCACCAAGATGGCGCTTCCTGGTGGAGCGTGAGAGATGGTTTAAGCAGACGTGGTCACCTGGCACAGAATCCAGAGGCAGGATGAGGTGGTCTGGCAGCCAGGCTGCGGCTGGTAGTCCTGATGAATAATTTACCAGATAACCAGGGGTGCTACTCTAGAAGAAATTCCATCCTTCTCCTGCCTTCATCCTGGCCTTCGGGTGAGAAGGACCCAGGGGCCACAGCTGCCTCCACCCTGGCCAGACAGTTGCCCCAGTAACAGTGTCCGGCTCCCCTTGTCTTGTCCTGCAGCCTGTCACAAAGTCCCTCTTCTCCCAGGGGAAGAGCAGCAGCCCTTCTGCACCGGAGCCCACATCCTCACAGCCTGGCACAATGGGCTCCCACGGAGTACACAGTGTTTCTTATTGTGGCATAAAATGCCATAAAGTCAGGACAAAGAGGGAGCCCAGAGCCTTGATGGGCCCGCTGCTTCCTGCCGGGCAGAGAATACAAGCGATTGTTTCAAAGCCAGTGGTGAGGCAAGTGGCCAATTAGCGCGGCCTTCACCCCCACAGCCTGTAAATGTGATTCCGACCATCAGGACGGGATTCTGCTACTCAGATCAATTGCTGAAAGGAAGCAAGTCTGTTCACGGTGCCGAATTTAGAAGCTCAGAACCAGCTAAAGTGACCCGGGTGGTTGCTGCCGCCTTCTTTAGAAGGAGGCTAAGCCCCACAGGTGCTGACTATCAGCCTTGCCCTCAGCACCTCCACCTGTTTTCTCTGCCCCTTTAAGGTGATGTAAGGGATTCCTAGAACATTCCTGAGACTGGGAGATTATACGTCTATTCACAAGTGCTCTGAACAAACTATTCATTTTTCATTATCTTCTTTCTCATAGTTGTCAAGAAATTACCCACAACCCAGACCGGAAGAAAATGAAAGTAGGTTTGGGGGTCAGTCCTGCCATGTTGAGGGTGTTTGCTAATTTGCTTTTTTTCTGTGGCTGGGTTGACCCTAACGGCTGTGGAAGGAAGTAATGACCACCACCCAGAGGCAAAAATAACCCCACAGAGCTTGGGAAACTCTAGCCACTGCAGTCAGGAAGGCGAGCCCAAGTATGCTGGATGCAGAGGAGATAAGAATTTTAGTTCATCCTGAAAGCAAGGGTCAAGGCCAAGAAAGGGAAGACAGTCTCCTCGGGCGTGGGGTGACGCTGCAGGTTTTTTCCTTTCCCTTTGCTGGGATTCTCCAGCATCCAGTACTTGGGGAGCCTCTCTGGTTTTCTTCTAAAAACCATGGAAAGGAGTTATTTAGCCATTACTGAAGGGACCACAGTCACTCACAAGCTAGTATTGGATTTATTGGATTTTCTCACCATTTGGCCCAAACAAGTGGGTCTGCTGGATTCAGAAGTTGAACAAGGGAAACAGGTGTCCTGAGAAAGGTCAAAGGAGGCAGAACAGCTGTCTTCAAACAGGCTCATTATCCCATAGAAAACCCAAATGAAGAAAACGTGCTCAATTAAAGCAGGAGGGCTTGCAGTCAGACTCGGGAAGAACTCCATCATCTGGGAGAAGAAACATTACAGTGAACTGAGGGGGTTAGTCCGTGACAGTTCCACCCCCAAAAGCTGTACTGGGGAGAAATTTCACAACTGCATGCCCTAAAAGGTTTAGAACAGCGATTTCCACACTGGCTTTGCCATCAGCATCACCTGGGGAACTTACCAAAAATACAGATTCCTGGGTTTTTCCCAGAGGCTCAGATTCAGGTGATGGGATCAGCCCCTGGTGATGCTGATGCAGCCAGTCACCGTGACGCTTTTGGGGACCCCGGACAAACCACCTGGAGAAGTTGAACCAGCTCAAAGCTCCACAGGGTGGGGCCCAGATGACGACCCTAGAAACCCAATCAATTATTCAAGGCAC